GAGAGTGGCGCTCGGAAAAGGAAATTGTTGAGGGAAAAGGAGTTTCGAGACAAGCAGCTATTACAAAAAATGCCGAAGCTTACAGGTTATTTTAAACCTGTAGGCCAGGATGAGGAGGAAGGACAGATTAGTTCGAAACGTCACTCATCTGGAGGAGAGGACCAGGCGCGCGTAGAACAGAGTGGAGAAGTGCGATCACAGAGCCTGCCGAGGCTATAAATGACTTTGATTTGTTGTTTAAATAGGGGGCCTACAAAAACTATCAGCCCCAGGGCCTGATGGCAGGTTAAGGCGGGCTTGCGTGCATGTCCCCTCGCTCTGAGTGTTCTCTTGAGGTGTCTTCACTTATGTGAAGCCCGTGCCTATTGCCAGCAAGCACTGATGTTATATCTTTATATTTAAGGCCAAGCTCAAAGTAAAATCGATGAACCGCTCCATTGTTGTGGTTTCTGTGTTGCCGTAGCAGCCGAACTGACCAGGAAGTACATTGAGCTAAATGAAAACCTTTTTCTTTTTTTTTTTTTTCAAATACATTTTTTTTTCTTCTCCATGTCCCCTAGGGGGCTCCTAGAAAATGGTTTATTTTAACATGGAACAGGAAAATAAGGTCTGCATATGAAACACGTTGTGCCTATCATGTAGTAGGCTTACTAGCTTCTACACGCTAAAGCAACTAAAATCTCTCACCAGCCAAATACCTCGTCAGTTAAATGCCATTGTACCTTTCATTACTATACCATACAGTATTTATTATCATTATAGTATTACTATTTCGGCGATTAGATAAAATATAAATTATATTTGATGCAACTTTAGTTACATTTCCATGACTTTTCCAAAAATATTGTTTTCCATAACTTTTCCAGGGCCTGGAATTAACATTTTGAATTTCCATGACTTTTTCAGGTTTTTAATGACCGTAAGAACCCTGATAATCATTCCTTGCAGTCCTACTTGAGTCCCAGTCCAGTGGACCCGTGTCACTGTGGGAAACATAATGACTATCAGCTGTCTGTTTATCCCAACCAAAACCACTCACAGCATCCTCAAGAAAGAGAAGTCAGGGGGAATGGGTCAGGAGTCAGTAGACTACAGAGTAAGATATTCACATCCGAAGACAAATACTTTGAAAACATTTGAAGTATTTTCTGACAAAATAATGTCTGTTTTAGGCCAAAAGCCTGATTCTCACATCAGTTGCAAGATGGATGAAACATTTCAGCTACACAGGGTACACCACTGAATGTCATAAAGTATCACTGGAATATTTTCAAATTTAAAGGTTTGGATTATTTCCAAATGTGTGGCCTAAGAATGATCTGAATTCCTTGGCATGATGCTATATAACCAATCAACACCTCTCTACACAAAGTCTGATTAATTATTTCGGATGACTGATGTTAAGCATGAAAGATTCCTTTTAAAACTCCACATGTATGACTATTTGCAGGAGAGTGCATCAGAGCTGTGCTGCTGCTGTCATTACAGGTCCCCCCCGACAGAGGGCCCCCCTGTGTAACAGATGTCCGTCAGACAAAGTGAGCCACATGTGGAAACACTCAGCATGAGAACCAGAACAATTGAGGAGACAGGAAATAAGGCTCTGCTGTGTGTGGGTACCCGTTAGCCACAGTATCACTGTGTACTGTCAACGCTACAGCCCCAATATGTGTGTGATGTCTGTGTGTGATGCATGTGTGTTACCGTGGAAACCCTGCCTGAGACTGTTGAAGGTCATGTGTGACAGGCAGTGACAGTGTTTATATTTACTGCCCCTTCGTTATGTGGTTACAACTCATACGTGTGTGTGTGTGTGTGTGTGTGTGTGTGTGTGTGTGTGTGTGTGTGTGTGTGTGTGTGTGTGTGTGTGTGTGTGTGTGTGTGTGTGTGTGTGTGTGTGTGTGTGTGTGTGTGTGTGTGTGTGGATAGTATGCAGGCATAAAGTGGAGAGGTCCACCACTGCTGCAGGGTCAGATTTCCTGAAAGAAATGCAGTTTTTCTGGATGTTTCCTGTGGTTTTCATTGAGTTTGCATTCTGTGTTTATTCAGCGGCCAGTTTACTAAGACAGTGACTGGGTCATTGGTCCGTTCCTCAACTCGCCCTGGTGCTGAACATCCACACTCATACCACATGTTCCTCCAGTATTTGTTTGCATTACAGTAATCTAACTGTTTGTAAAGGAGACGTTCATGGAGGTGGCTCTTGTTGTAAAGCTCATGTTGTTGTTAGTGAAGCAGAAAATAGATCTTTCAGAATGAGCATCAATTTGGTAAGTCAGTCGTCAGTGTTCCTCAAATGCAAAAGTGTACCTGTAGAGGACTTCATTCTCAGTACACGCCACCTGTTTGGCTGTGAAGCTTATTTTGGATAGAGTCTACATTTTTATTGTTGTACCCAGCAGTATTGAGGACAAGCCACAGTAGTTTATGAGCTGCCCCGAGCACTGTCTGCCAGGGAGAGCTACCAATCTGATGTGAGGGCCACCTGTGTGAAGTCTGAGAGGTTTACTGCTCTGAGGGGACTGACTCTGGAAAAAAGGAGTGGGAATTTGAAAAATAAAGTAAGGTGAACGTGTCCCTTTTGTCCCCAGTGGAAATCATGACCTTGCCGGCAGCAGTGAAGCTTTAAAGCAATTATCACAAATAAAATGATTTACACCTGAGAGGGACAGGACCCCACCAGCTGCTGATAGGACAACACAGGACAGCAGCTGGGGGGGGGGGGGGGGTGCCTTAAAGAGCAGTACAAATTCAAATATGACATTAGCAATGATATCAAAGTGTTGTTTCAATGTATCGTCTAGAGACGAATAGAGTGCACCCGGGACGACATACTGTAAAGTTCAATAGTAGGGCGGGACTTAGTAATTTAAGTTCCAGAACTTCCTGTTTGACTAGGCTCTCTTCTTAGTTTCAAATGGCCTCCAAAGAGCACTTCAGAGTGGCTGAAGGCTGAAATGTGACCCTGTCCTCCCATGCAAGTTAGCATTTTCTCATGAGCGTTTTTGTGTGTCAGTGTATTTGGTAAGAGCCAGATATGCTTTGGTTCAGGACGCTAGGCACTCCACAGGCTGACAGAGAAGAAGTACTGCAGTACTCTGTGTGTGTGTGTGTGTGTGTGTGTGTGTGTGTGTGTGTGTGTGTGTGTGTGTGTGTGTGTGTGTGTGTGTGTGTGTGTGTGTGTGTGTGTGTGTGTGTGTGTGTGTGTGTGTGTGTGTGTGTGTGTGGTGGAAAGCGGTGTCCTATTTTGCGTCACTAGCAGTGTGTACACCCAAAGTAGGACACCACTTTCTCACACACACACACACACACACGCACGCACACACACACACACACACACACTTCTGTTGAGCGATATAACAGCAGTGTGGCCTACATTCAGCGAGGTTCAGGTCATATTGTCTTACAGCAGCAGAGGACATGAGCAGCACAGAAAACAATGCTCGTTAACATCTGCATTCAGAGAGTGAGAGGCCGTCTGTGTTTCATAGGATCAGCAGCGTAAAGTTTCTGATTATGTATACATCCATCAATAATCTTTTGATGAGTCTATTTTTTGTAAAATACTGCAAAAAAGTTTCCAGACCACAACATCCCATCTTCAAATGTTTATATTGTTCCAACTAACAGTTGGTCAAAACCAATCCTCACCCATTTGTGAGAAATCCAGTTATTGAACCACACTTGATTCAGTTAGCAGATTACACCTATATTTCACTGAATTCATCCAAAAAGAATTGAACCTAAGGGAATGTACTAATCACATGTTCTCAGTTTAATGTAGGGTAAATGGAGCTTTCACAGGATGTGAGGAGTACATATTGAATATAGACAATATATTGTATAGTGAGGACAATAAAGCACACATTACGGGGCCAAACAGCTTTGTCCAGTTGGGCCCTTTGAGTTCAAAGACAAAGTAACCCTGCTTTCCAGAGAAAGGGATGCATGCTGGGAGCCACTTGCTTCAGGTACATGTGAGGTATGAAATACAACTCCAGTTTTAGTAGCAGATCTGCAAGTTAGAAAAACCAAATCTGTGCACAACTTTGATCTGATAGAGGGTCAGCAACAAGGCCCACAAATGCATCGACTGCTCTCTCCCCTCATTGCCAAGGATTCCTCCCACCACCTGCCCCCCCTCCTGCCTTCAGGGAGGCGGTACACAGCTATCAAGACCTGAACCACCAGAACATTAAACAGTTTCTTTACCAAAGCCATACACACTCTGAACTGAACACACACAGTGCCTCTGCAACCCACATCATGAACTCAAACCCACTGGTCATCGATTTGCATACAGCCACCACTATCTTTATCCTATCATATCATACAACTGCCTTACTGGTTGTACTGAACTGCTTTATTCATTCCCCAAAGCTCTTTAACTGTCATGTCCTGTTCTTCTTGTTTTTGTCTTGTCTTGCTTGTTTCTTAAGAATTGTTCAAATTGTTAGTGAATCGTTGTGTGTGTGTTTTAAGCACTGCTGGCATGGGCATTCGTCATTTCATGTATTTGATATACAATAACAATAAAGGCTTCTATCTATCTGTAGTTAGAACAATTGCAGCAGGAGGCAGTGTTAAGGTTACCTGTAATAAGACTATGCACTATTTGATAGTATTCATAACATACATCAGCTTCACTTCTGAAATGTCTTCTCCTCCTCTCCTGCACCTTAGCGTGTGGAACGGGTTTCTGCTGTTAGAGGTCCAGGAGACTAAACCAACGCACTTCTGTAAGTCCCTGCGGTCACCTTCAGCACTGTGGCAACCACAGCTGAGAGGGAAGGAGCATTTATTATTAGACCCTTGTTCTTTCTTATAATAACACAAACTGTGTGCATTACATTTGAAACATGTCAACATGATGGTGTTTAGGTTGTACACCACATGGTGGCCCTAGAATAAAGATGGCATTCAAGTTCCCTGTGGATCAGGCTGTGACTCTGCTCAGTCTGATCCACAGAGACACTGAATCCACTGACACACAGACTCACCTTCTCTAGAACCATCTTCTGTCTGTCCAGGTCCACGTCCCTCACTGGTTCTGGCTCCGGAGACCCCGGCGGTCTCTCCCCCACCCTGTCCGGCTGGCCGTCAGTGTGGACCTGAGAGGAGGAGGCAGGGGAGGAAAGAGGTATGGACGGGGAGGAGGAAGCACCAGGAGGGTGTGCAGGGGAGGAAGATGGAGAAGTGGCAGACGGAGGAAGAGCGCCAGGAGCTTGTTCACCACGGAGACGCAGCGTTTCCTGCCGTAGTGTCTCGTTCTCAGAGGCCAGTTCCTGCCGCTCCCGCCGCACGCCGCTGAGCTCCTTGGTGAGGGCGTCCAGCCGCTGCCTCAGCTGGCGCACCTCGTCCCGGGCCCGGTTCCTCTCCGCACGCACCTGCAAACATACAAAAACACAAGAGGATCTTTAACAGCAGGAAATTGTTGTTTAATAGCAAGCCTTCTCACACCAGAGGATGATGGGGACTACTTTCCTCAGTGGAATCATCCACATTATGTGGATCTGTCTGTAGTAAGTATTTGTGACAGCAGGAAAGTGTATGTGGGATTTAATCCAAATAAACTACAGTGTGTATTCATGAGGAATATGTCACCCAGGGCAACAGGGTGGCTCATGGGTGAGTTTTGGCACATATATCTGGCCTTGATCAGGCACTACTACACGCTGCTATTTCAGTGTTGGTTTAGATACCATTTTGAAAAAGTGAAATACCTTTTCTCCTGATTCAAGCCAGAGTTGATTTTTTTAATTTTGAATTTCTACTCTTTTCTCAACCAAATGCTTTGAGATGTCACATCATAAAACATTTCACGACATCATGAAAATCCAAGTGGGATGATGTTTCCCTCCTAATGCAGATGAAATGTATATGACCATCATTTGTAGAAGGCAGCTTAACATGACCCAGCTGAGGGAGACATGTTTCATATATGGCATGCATAAGAGATTTTTTGTGAAAATAATCTACCTACAAGCTTTTACTGGAGATGTAAAGGTCACCTATTTTCTACATCAACATGTGTCCCCTCTGTGTAAAGAGACTCTGAAAGTTTCAGGAACAAAGACCACCTCTCTGTTTGTCCTGATCCATTTATATAAAAACCTGTCTGAAAATCAGCTGATCAGATTTTGGTCACTTTATGATGTCACAATGTTTTTTGGGTTGTGTAACCATTAGCCAATCAGCAACCAAGGCATTTTACAATCAAATAAGTGCAGTTTGTTTTTAGTTTTAGATGACAGATCATCTGGAGCATTAGCTTTCTAATTCCCCATTGCAGTGAAGTTCATTCATTGAGTGAAATCTGAATAAAACCTGCTTGGTAAAACGCACATTTTGGACATGAATGAACTAACTGTGTGCACAAAAACATAAAAATGATCAGAGCATTGTTAGGCATGCAGCCTCTCTCCTGGCTTGAGCAGCCCCTCCCCCCACCTTGCTCCACTTCTCCCTCCAGTTGGCGGTGCAGTCGGACCACCACCTCATGGTCTTCTCCATCTGTGCCGCTCTGGCCCGAGCCTCCTCCAGCTCCCGGAGCCTCAGCTCCTCCCTGCTCTCCCAGTCGGCCCCCTCGCCCATGGCCCCCAGGGACACCAGCCCAAAGCCACCCAGCCCGGGCGACAGCAGCAGGGGGGGGCTAGAGCTCGGGGTTTCTCCGGTGGGGCTGGGGGTGTGGGCCAGGCTGTCCGGGGAGCGGATGCCCCGGTCGGATCCCAGACCCAGGCTGCATAGCAGGCCCCCTCCGGAAGACTTCCCACCCTCCGACAGGTGGGGGCTGGGGGTGTGGTTCATGATGGAGGTGGTGGTGTGGAGGATAAAGGAAGTGGGGATTCAGCAGAGCATCATCCTCTCCAATCACTGATCAGCCTGCACACAGAGAACCAAGAAGAAGAGTTTCAGCTACAGAGCAGCAACAACTGACACACACACACACACCATCACCACACACTGTGTATGACACAGCCATAACCACACACTGTGTGTGTTAGCACCATAACCACAGACTGTATATGGGCCGCAACTGAGGACAAAACAATTCAAGGTTGATCAGAAATAGTTAATAATCCAATATATAATAATCACTCCAAATAAACCATTTCACAGTGCACTGCCTTAGGAAGAGAAACACACACACACACACACACACACACACACACACACACACACACACACACACACACACACACACACACACACACACACACACACACACACACACACACACACACACACACACACACACACACACACACACACACACACACACACACACACACACACACACACACACACACACACACACACACACACACACACACACACACACACACACACACACACACACACACACACACACACACACACACACAGTAATTATCCCTGTGAGGAAAGGAAAATGTGACACTTCCTGCACACCTGATCCTCTCTTGGTCCGCCTCATCTCTGCCCCTCATCAGTCACTCTCCCTCCTACCTGTGCTGTTAAATCTTTCAACAGGAACCACTTGTGAGTGTTCCACACTGTAACATCAGCTGAGTAACGAACAGCTGGCAGTGTTCTGATAGCAGCTGCACAAATAGTGGAACAATTGATTGAAAGGAAATCAATGATCTGTTTATTGTTTACTTTCATTCCTAATCTTTTATCATCAACATGTGAGAATATTCTCTACATATTAAGCCAGTTGATCTTCATTTGTACTTGTATTTTCACAATTGAATACTTGTTATTTAAATGTTTACTTTTTATACCAGTATTCAGGTTATCATTTGCGACATATAGTCCTATTATTTGGTGAATCATGATGAAACATATTTGTGATGTAGACTAAGTTTCTCCTCCTGAGTCTGTGGCCGACAGTTTGAGAAAGATCCCGTCTGTGTCTGTGGTGAGGTTTGCCTCTAGCTCTGGGTCAAGAGAAGTTGAGCTCCTTCCTGTTTCCCCCCTCCCTCAAGAGGCAGAGGAAGTTCCAGAGGAGATCAGGATCTGTGGGAACCACTCACAGGGAACCAGAAGAAAGGGAAAGGAAACAGAGCAGCTGGATGGAGGGGAAGCTCTGAAACAGGGGCCTCCTCTCTGTCAGTAATGTGGATCCAACCCACTACCTGTACACAGGTGTAGTTTGTGTCAGAAAAATGTAACAGTGCCATGACGCATACTTCCATTAAAGATCTCCCATCATGCTATTTATAGGCATATATTGTCAGATATATAAAAACATATACAAAACACATCTAGATAAGATAAGAGATAAGATAAGATAGAACTTTATTGATCCCAATTTGGGAAATGTTTGTGTTGCAGCAGCATAAAAAGACATGGCATTGTACAATACAAATTAAAAGACAAGAAATAAACACAGGGTTCCTGCAGGTTTCACCAACTCAAATTTAAGGCTTTATAAGACCTTTTTAAGACCACTTTGAATAGAATTCAAGACCTATTTCACGGCAAGAAAGTATGAAGGAAAACTGCTATGAAAGAAGAAATACGTCCCATAATTACTAACAAAGTAAATGAATTCATGTTCAACATAAGAACGATGACTGAACATAACAGCATAACAGTACACTGAACCGTGTTAGACAAAAAGTGTGTATGTATGTATGTGTGTGTGTGTGTGTGTGTGTGTGTGTGTGTGTGTGTGTGTGTGTGTGTGTGTGTGTGTGTGTGTGTGTGTGTGAGTGAGTGACAAGAGCTATATTCAGAGCTCTGCTGCCTTCATGCTGTTGTATGATTAGTGTTTAGCTACGGTATTTAGCATCCACAGCACCTCCGCTTTTAGGGTTGACGTAGACTCAAACGTCGCCCGGAGGTCCCCCGGAGTTGTTGCGGGAGTAGCTGCATTAGCTAACGCTATATTATCAAAACAAACGCATTTCTTTCGCAAAAGGTGCAGCGGGCTTCTACTACGGAGTATTAGGGCCACACTTAGAAGAAAAAAAACAGAGAGATTTCGAGAATAAAGTCGTAATATTACGAGAATAAAGTCGTAGTTACGAGAATAAAGTCGTAATATTACGAGAATAAAGTCGTAGTTACGAGAATAAAGTCGTAATAATACGAGAATAAAGTCATAGTTACGAGAATAAAGTCGTAATATTACGAGAATAAAGTCGTAATGTTACGAGAATAAAGTCATAATTACGAGATTAAAGTCGTAGTTTCATAAGTGACTTGAGAAGGAGACAACAGCAGCGTCCTGCAATAAAATGAGGAATGTGGAGCATCTTGTGAAGCAGTACTTTAGTTTAGGTTTCTCAAATAACGAAATACTTAATCTTTTGGCACATCAGCATCAGATTATCATAAGTATTAGAACTTTGAAAAGGTTGTGCAAGAAACTGTCTATTATTTGGAAGAAAGAACCAAACGGACTTGGAGGAGATTGTCTCCTTTCTGCAGGAGGAAATGGCTGGTTCTGGCCGACTACAAGGCTATCGTTGGTTACATCTACGAGCTGTTCAAAGGGGATTTGTTGTTTCACAAGAAACGATGAGACTTGTAATCAAGGCTTTGAATCCAGAAGGAGTCGAACGATAGCCTGGTAGTGGAATCGGAATGAGCTCCCCATTGAAATCAGGACAGCAGAAAGCTTACACATCTTCCGGCGCAGACTGAAAACTCATCTCTTTCGACTGCACTTCGAGCGATAGAATTACTAACAAAGAATTGCTAACAAAGCACTCATATACTAATAAAGGACTGGCTTATCTAAAGCCAGTTGAGTAGCACTTGAAATGTTTTAGCTCTATGAAACCTGATGTACTTATATGATTCTGTTTTCTTCAAGTTTGTATCTTGTTGGTCGAACGCACTTATTGTAAGTCGCTTTGGATAAAAGCGTCAGCTAAATGCAATGTAATGTCGGCCAGAACCAGCCATTTCCTCCTGCAGAAAGGAGACCATCTTCTCCAAGTCCACTTCTCAAGTCACTTATGAAACTACGACTTTAATCTCGTAATTATTACTTTATTCTCGTAACATTACCACTTTATTCTCGTAATATTACGACTTTATTCTCGTAATGTTACGACTTTATTCTCGTAACTATGACTTTATTCTCGTATTATTACGACTTTATTCTCGAAAATCTCTGGGGGGTTTTTTCTAAGTGTGGCCCTAATACTCCGTCGTAGGCTTCAAACACGTTCCCCTCCACTGGTTTCAACCAAGCACTAAATTCGATGTTTTCCAACCAAATACGGTTGAATTTACATATATTTATTTGCAAGTAGATTAGCCAATTTTGGGGCCGATCGCCGGAATCAGTATCGGCCGATACCGACCGCCGATCCGATCGAGTGGGCGGGGCCTATGGGGATCTTCCATTTAAAGCAGTGCTTCTGAAAGTGTGGTCCGCGGGCCACTGGTGATCCGTGAGCGCCCCCTAGTGGTCCGCGAGTATATTGGTAACATTTCACATTTGAAATAAATACATTTAAGTTTTCCACACTCTCGCAGGAATATCTCCGCAATGGAGCGAGCTAAAGTTTTACTTTTGATGTCATGATATGGACCAGCACAACACCTTCGTCACACATGTTGCCACTTGTTTGTACCATTTTCAGGCGATTTGTAATCTGTTCTAGAAAAACGATGTGATTTTGGATATTTGTGGAGCTAGGTGGTCCGCGAGTGTTTTTTTATTGGTTAAGTGGTCCTTGGTATGAAAAAGTTTGAGAAACACTGATTTAAAGTGATGTTTAAAACTCAGTTAATGGGGCTCAGTTAATGGGGCTCATTCACTGGCGCTTCCACAGACAACAACCAACATAATTATTACATTCAGACGAAGATAATAACACGGGAGAAATGAGCGGAAGCACTCTCTCTCCCTCTCTTCCTCTCTCTCTCTCGTTACCCCTCGATTCCACCAGCTCCATCTGCGTCGAGTTACGGCTGCGCCGCGGTTTTGGTCCGGCCTCCTCCGGCGTCATACCCTACCGGGGGCGTTTCAGGAGTGTTTCAGAAGCGGAGCGTCTTGCCTGCCGGCTCGCAGTTTTTGTTGATTTGGCCATATTTCCTGGACAGGCTACTTTGTACAGACAAAGTTAATAGACTACGGAGGGATAAGGTCTGCAAAATGAGTTTATTTGGGGGATGGGCCGGATGCTCTGACCGGTCCACTTCCTGCCCGGCGCCTCTGCAACGCCCCGCATCGAAAAATAGACTTCAATCCTATTTTGAGCGGAGCCCAGCGCCGAGACGCCAAATATGAAATATGTATATAAATACATGTTAAGCACATCAGGCTGGCAGCTCTATGGGCATTGCTCTACGGTAGTTGTTATTTGCACATTGTTAATCATGGGCAATGCATCCTTAAATTGTTTAACTGTGAGGTGTTATACAATTGTACTGTCCTCTGGAGAGCTTTTTAAGGTAAAAAATAAACAGCATGATGGGATGTGCAGTACTAGTAGAGAGAACCAAATATGTAAAGCACTTTTTTGTTAATTTATGATTTGCTGCATATGAGGAATAAAACAAAAATCCCCAGTAAATATACACAAAAAAAAATCCTCTGTCGTACCATATTGAAGTATCAATATTTTGCATCGTGTTGAATCGCATCGTATCGCCCCGAATCGCATAATGTTGAATCAAATCGTATCGAACTGTATCGCAACAGGGGTGAATCGTATCGTATCGCCTGGTGTTTCAAATGTATCGTTAATTTATCATATAGTTGGCAACGTATCGAGATGCGCATCGCATCTGCCTCAGTGATGGCGATGCACATCCCTAGTGTGGAGGGGGAGTGGGCTATTAAGCCCTCAAACAGCGAGTCTGCATCAGTGCTGACTGGAGGCCGGTCTCTACCTGACCGGTCTCAACGCTGTGTGTGTCCGTCAGGAAACAAG